TTCCTGCAAAAGCGGGGAGCTTTTGTATTGGTGGTCCTCCGATTGCGAGGACTCCTTTCTTTTGCTGTTGTTGTTGGTAGGAGGGACATGCTGATGAAGGCAGTCACTCCCAGCTTGCTTCTGTTTGTAGAAAAGGAAACCTTGTCTACCTCCCTTGGTCCACCCTACAAAGACCCCTTGGTTGGTTTGTTGTTGGAGACAAACTCGAAAGGAAAAACACTGTCTAGCTCTTACTATGATGGGTGTGCGTAACGGACAAGCCCATACACCTAATGAAGGAAGGATGATAGTCTTGTCTATGCTTGTCAGATTCTGGTATTAACACCTGGCGCTCGGTTAAGCTGCGTGCTTGCTTTACCTGGTGGCAATAGGTGGTCCAGTGGTAGTTTGCTGGATTTACTGGACTCTCCAGCAGCAACAAAAGAAGGGGTGGCCATTGTTGCACAGAGAATCTGGGTAGTTGATTAATGAAGCAGACTACAGCTTTAGCACTGTGCTGCTAGCAGGGTCTATTCGGCTTCGAGCTGCCCATTACTTTTTGGTGCCGGATGCTCATGCATCAAAGATTTTTTTGGGTAGAAAATGAGCAGTTAGCTTGTTCTTTGTGGCCGAATGGTCTAGTCGTATGATTCTACCTTCGGGTGGTAGAGGTCCCGGGTTCAATTCCCGGTTCGGCCCATTTTTTTTTTTGCCGAATGAAACACAAGCCCTTCCGCAGCCTCTTTTTTTTCCCCTGTCATTCAGCACTCTTCTTTTCTTTGTTGCCTTTTGCTGAATTTGGGCGGGGTGGTTTTCAGTTACCTTTTTTCTCTCACAAATGTCGCGGTCGGTTATTTCGCTGACAGTGCCAGAAACGCAGCAGGCACAGTTGGTCCGCGACGGCTTCCGCACCCTTAGCGATCTATCCGTGTGTACTGCACCGCCGTCGTTGGTGCGTCCACAGCCGCCTGTGTTGAATTCGGCGTGGACTCTAGTGCAACGACAACGCACACACCCGCACTTTACAACGGGCATATCGACGCTTGATGCGTTGTTGGGGAACAGCGGGTTGCCGCTGGGGGCGGTTCTAGAGGTGGTGGCGGATCCGGTGGGAGCGGCGGCCGAGCTGTGCCTGCGGCTGAGCGTTGGCGTGCAGCTGAACTGGCCGTCTGGTGAGGACGGCGTGTCGGTGGTTTATATTGACACAACTGGGTCGTTTTCGCAGGGTGCGGCACAGCGGGTGGCCCGGAAGGTTTGTGGTGGGCGGGTAGTGGATCCGGCGACGTTGTTGGATCGGATCCATGTCTTTCGTGTGTATACGGCGGATGAGCTTGTGGCTTTGCTGGATTCGGCGGATGAGGTGTTTGGCCATTTGGATAAGGTGTGTATTATACATGACTGGTGGTGGGAGGTTCTGGGTGTGTGTGTGGGGGGTGGATTCGTGTCGTGCTTATTTGTGTGTGGCAGTGTTTGTAGGTTGGGTTGTTGGTTGTCAATTCGGTGAGCTGGCCGTTTCATGCGTCGTATCCATCGGATTTCCTTTCCCGGCTCGATATGTTTAGCGATACGGCATCTACGTTGGCGGGAATAGCTACTAGACATCAGGCTGCTGTAAGTTTGTCCACTTGGCGTGTCTGGGCCTTCTGATATGTATATTTTTTTTTGGTGAGGAGATCCCATGTATTTACTGTCTTTTTTTGTTTTGTTTTGTAGGTTGTTTTGGTTAGTCAAGCCAAGAGTGCCAATGGGTTTTCGGGCAGTGACTTTGGTTCTGCTCAATCCGTAGATGGTGCGGTTTGGTCGCAGATTGCAGCAAATACCCTATCGATCTGTCAGCCCCCTCACCGTGAGACGGGTTTTACTGTCAGGTTGACGAGCTCGTCGGCGTATCCCACAGGCGAAGCACATATCCCTGAAATTTAAACCCGCTTTGCTTTGTAACCATACCTGATTTGTGTAAACCGAAAAAAAAAGCTGGCTCGGAACAGCAATGTTTTACTGTAGACAAAGTAGAAAGCCATGTTATATGGGTGTTATTGAATTGAAATAAAAACTAAACTGAATTACTCAAAAGTGCCTAGAAGGAAAAGTGGCCTTGACTAGCCATCACACATCTCTTTACTTTATCTCTGAGTAAATATCTGGCCGCTTTTGCTCTTGTGTCGACATACTTGTCAGCAGTTACAAAGGTGTGTGCAAAACATGAAACTCTTCCTACTCCTATTTCGAGTTCATTACACTATTCTAGAATTCAAGTGTTCCAGTCTCCGAGTATACCAGTTTGGCCTTTTCCAGTAAAAAGCCCGCAGTTTATTACCCCGTTGACACCATTACAGGTATATAAAACGTATCTTTTTGGGTATGCTCAGCGATTTCAAAACCATATAACGACTCTTCAAATGTTGTGAATAATACATCCATTCCTCTTCATCCTTGTCAGCAAATCCAAATTTATATTTACTCTCATCCAGAGTCCCGTCTCCAAAGCTTGGCAGATATTGTCTTTATTTCTCTAAAAAGTCCTCCTTATCACCACTGTATTCAAATGCCTTGTATACAGGAGCTTCCAAACTGTCCGTAAAATTATAAACACAATTATATGGCTATAACTAGCAACCATTTCAAAAAGCGCCTTCTCCGCTTCTAGTTTTACATTATACTTTTGCAAATCAGAGTATTCATAGGGAGTGCTCATGGTGGATAAAGTAGTAATGCTCAACTATGGAAGAAATGTGGATGGGGGTGACTTGTGGCTGCATGGATAGGGTGTATTCCCCTTCCCCAGCCTTTTATACTAGCCCTTGTAAGTAGAGAGAAAAAACCAAACCCTTCCTTCGCCAGAAGCTCCATTGGCTGTAAAATAGATGGTATTTCAGTAAAGACAGCCAGGTGTCCTTTGAACAAAAAGAACGACTGCGGCCTGTCAGCCCGCAGTTGTGGCCAGCCTTTGACACCACCATAAACCATGATTGACCAAATCCTCCGACAAAGAATGAATGAATGAATGAATGAAAAAAGGGTTGGGGCCATTTGAACATACCTGTATTGCATCTCATCCCTATCCGTGCCCGTCAAAGAAAAAAGGTGGATCTGTCCTGTCCGCCCATGTCCTCTTCTTCCAGTAGCGTGGCGGCCCCCTCTGCCCACGGATACATGACTGCGTTACCAGCATCTGTCCAGCATTCACCCCCTGGCAAATTTAACTGGAGAATGTCAGTGACCTCCGCCTGGTTTGTTTTTGATCCCGGGGAGGCCGGTCCCATCTACCCTCTCCTAGACATCCCCTCCATCTTCTCCCTATATCTCTGAAACCCTTTAACACTGGTTCACGATCTCTCTGCCCACGACCCCAGCCCCTAAGCGCCTGTACCCGCGCCTACCTCCCACTCCACAATGGTTCTTTCTTGATTGCTCACTCTTGGCATAAGAAACATTATCGCTATTGTTGCAAGGCTGCTGATTCCCAGAAAAACCACTGGGTGGGATGACATGGCCACCCAAACCCACATACAGAGATCGCTGATCCAAGGTGGCCGGCCCGGCAGGACCCCGGGGTGTCCCCGATCATTCGGACTGATTGATTAGCCCCTCTTTCCCTGGCCAAGGAAAGCGCTCTTACTCCCGGCCAAACTGGCTTCCCTTTGGTCTCCAATTCGCTCATATTTCCACTTTCTTTCGCAGCATGATTCTGCTGCGTCTGCAACAGCCCAGTACCACATTACCAGCAAACACTGCAGATGTATTTATGCTACCAATATGAAAAGGTATGGAGCGTTATCCAGTCCAAAAAGTAGGCTCCATCAGGAGGAGTCAACCTAGAACTATGGCAGGCGAATGGTATACCGGAACCTTCTCTCCTGTCTCAGGTTGGGCCCCAATACCGGCTCAACGTGGCGACTTACCCCCGGGGGCAACCTTCCCTGCGGCTTATAGCAGCTTCTTGATATCTGTAAATTCTACCCCATCTGCATTTATGTCGACATCAAGGTATGCTACATCATTAGAAGAGGCCTGGGGGTCATCCTGTGAAACCTCCGGACTGGCATTGTAAACAACCATGCCAATGTCATCTCTGCATCCCCAGGCCTCCAACGACCGATCAATTTCATCGCTCTCTGCTACGCATAGAGTAATTCGATTACCACTCCACGCAGCTGTATTATTAGGGTCTGCAGTCGGGGCTATATTAGGGTAAATGGCGATTTCGGTTTCAGGATGACTGCATATCTTGTAAAAAGAGGATTTAATATCCTGGGATGCAATTTGCTGGTACACCATAGCAATTATTTCCTTTACTGTACGGGTTTTGGAAACCTTCGCAATGTCCAGCGTGTGGGTTGAAGGATAAAACACAAACCGCACAGCTGCTTCCTCTTCAGTCATGATGGTTAACTGGTACTTGTAAATAGGGGTATGTCAGGACCTACTATGTGGAAGAAAATGGAAAAAGTAGACAAATTGTGGGGAAGGTAGGAAAAAAGTAGCAGCCATGGGCGGATTTTTTATATGTAGCCTCCACCCCCACTTTTCTCTTTTTGTCTCTAGAAAGCAGACCTGTGTCACAACCTGCCCGTCCACATTGCAAAGGACCCATACAAAGGGGTTGTATCAGCAGACACAAGTACACGGTGAATGGGTGCGGATTTTCTTTGAGGATTTGTCACCCCCCCCTTTTGCCGTTTCTTTTTGTCTTGCTGTGGAGGGGTGACTACATGTGGGATTGCGGGGGGCCCACTTGTGTGTACATCTTTCCTTTGCCGTCTTTTGTAATTGTGCAAAAAGGATGGAGTGCCAAAGGGAAAAGGATACCAGTCAGTGCACTACCCTCCTTTGGCCAAGCTGTGTCACCTCCTAATGGCAGAGCGGTGCTCGTCTGAAGAGAAACCGGTCTTCATAGGCGTCTTTGAAGCATTGGCATGAGCAGGCAGGACAAAATGGAAAGCGCTGAGGCAGTGGCAGCCTGCAAAAAAAAATACCCCGCCCCCAAAAAAGCCGCTTTGCTTCATCCGGCAAAAAAAAATGGGCCGAACCGGGAATTGAACCCGGGACCTCTACCACCCGAAGGTAGAATCATACGACTAGACCATTCGGCCACGAAAAAGCAGGCTAGTAGCCAGCTTTCTGAGAACAAAATTTCAGAGTTGAACCAAAGCTGGAGCATCAAAGTAGAAAGCGGCTTGCAATTGGCGCCAGTGGCAGCGCTTGTGTCTGATATATCCACGGGGCACAGCCCGACGCCAGGCGTTAAATACGGGTTTGCTATCGATATTCGAGGGTTTGGATTTATTACAAAAGTGCAGCTGAGAGTTGCAAGGCAACAAAATGCATTAGAAAACAGCCTTGGGCATGGTCGTCTCCATGGGGGCTCTTGCTTTGGCAAGTGGTTCAAAAGCGGATCCCAGTCGTTGCCATAGTTTGCATTTGGGCGGCACGGTCTTTTCTCTTTTTGCGGAAGATGCAATAGAGCAACAGGCCGAGCAGCAAAATGGCAATGACAACACCAGCAATGATCCCAGCGATTTTCCCGGTACTGCTGCCTTCTTCCTCAATATACTCGTCGCTGCTGCTAGAGTCCTCGTCATCCACATCATCTTCAGTCGGGCTTTCTTCTTCGGTTGATTCAGTGGATTCGCTAGACGACTCACTTTCACTGGGTGAGGACTTGTCGCTGGACTGATCAAGGCCTCCTAGGCTATCCTCCGCCGTCGTGACAATAGTCTCGGTAACCACCATTGGCTCGCCGCTTTCATCATTAAACACAGTCATTGTTGTGGTCTCCGTCTCACCGCCAATAGTGACAGTCAACACGGATACATTCAAGGTATCTGTGTTTCTCTGTGGCGGCATAGTCGCCATAGGATTATTGGTGGAGGTCTCTGTCTCTGTAACTGTCTCAGTCACTACCAAGTCGCTGATTTCCGTAGCCATAATACATGGGTCTTGGGCCGGACACTCGTCCACCGTCATATCTGTCATGGTCATTATGCTAGTGGTGGTCAAGTCACTGGTTGTCTGCCGCACCAATGTCAGCTGAGTGGTCTGTGTGTGTGACTCGTAGATGGTCGTGGTATCCGTGTATGTGTCGGTTTCCGTCACCACCTTTATTGTGGTGGTATACACTGTGGAGGGAAAGGGCGTGGTCACAAATACTGTAGCATCCATGGTTTCCTTCTCAAACCGGGTGATAACATTCTGCCGAAGCTCCAGATGGCGGTCTGGTCCTGATTTCCCCTGGCCATTGCCGTGCATGGAGAATACAGACCAGCTGTCCTGTGTGCTTTCTTTAGGTATTGCCATAGAGAATGGTGCATCTGGAACCTGGCTATCCTTTGCCAGGCTCAAAGTGCTCGCTGGGCCAATGGCATCCTGAATCCAGCCAAGATAGTTTGCTAGCACTGTATAGTAGCTGACAACATTGCTACTGCTATCACAGAGCGCCTGGGCACTTGTAGATGCACTGTGGCTGTATATGGCAAACTGTGCCGCTCCCCTCTGGTCAGAGATAGCTGCGACATACCCATAGGGAAGCCGGCACTGGCTGCTAAATGGCGAGCCAACAAGCTGGCTGCTGCACAGAAATGCATTGCTATTTTCCTTATACAGAGCCGATGCCTTGCTGCAAACATCCGAGCTCAGCTGCTCAGCTGTAGCGGCCTGAAGAGACCTCCAGGCCTTGTTGTCTGCATCCAAAGAACGTGCGGCCAGGGTATATTCCGAATATAAATCAGCTTTTCCTGCCACAGTGTAGGTTGCCTGGGCAGATAGCATGTCAAATGTGACCACTGCAAGGTTGTTGGCAAATGAACTGGGGTCATACTTGTCATGGACTTTAAAGCCAGTCACTCTGTGTGTGCTGACAGCATCGTCGGCAAGCCCAACAGCGACAGTAAGCTCTGTAGGGCCGCCGTGGATGGTGCTCTGTTGGGCGTCAATGCAGCTAGCCGGTGCAACGCCTGCACTGTCAGTGAGTATGACTATCGGGCAAAACGTCTGGGCATCATTCTGCATGAGCAGGGCTGAAGGAAACTCTCGAGCATAGGCACCATTGTCTGCTTGCCCAGTTCCATTGGACAGGGTAGTGGCATAACACCCATGGGCAAGCGCCAGCCATGCCAGAATAAACATGCTGGGGAGAGTATAAGAGTAGTTTCGAAAAGAAATAGCCCAAGCTAGAAAAAAAGAAAGCTAAAAGGAAAGGTGGTGGTTTACAAGACCGTGGAGCTTTTGGGCTGATGCTTAAAGAGGCTATTGACGCTTCCAAAGCCAGCGTCAAAGGGCAAAAGGGACGGACGGGTAGCAAAGGGATGGTAGATGGATTTCGGCGGTGGGCGCCCAGGGCCAAATCAATCAGTGTAATCACCGCAATAAAATCTTTATTCTCCCATAAGCCCCCAGTTCCCGGATCCGGCAGACCGGCGGTATAAAGGGGCGGCGGTGAACGGCAGCCAGAGACTGAAATCTTTATCGACTGTACTTTACAGGATCATGTAATACAGTTAATATTCAGTTTCTTTGTTCACCGAACAGAGACACACATACAAGGCTGGACGATGATCTGCAGTGCGCTGCCCGTAAAGGGAGGTGTTATCGAGCTTTATTGCTCGTTTCGATGATCTTGCTTGTCTGCGCCCCCGCCCCCGCGCTTCTGTCGTGGGTGCGGGTTTTAAGCGCGCGGCACAGCGAGGGCAGTTGCACACTCTGACAGCCTACCTTAACCAACCAACTATGAGTAACGAGCAACCGCCACGGGCTTGCATGCGAATGAATGCAGTCGCCCTTGGTCAACTGTGCACATGCGCATGGCCCATTGATTGCGGCAGCGTCGATTGCGGACGGCGCATATGTCCCTTCTCTGCCTCTTCCTTTTCCATTCAGGGTGCTTTTGTGTATTATTTGTTTCGTTGCGAGAATGGCGGAGCGAGCACGGCGGAATTTGCCGGGCATACGGGAGGAGGACTGCTACGGCTGGACGTACGGGTCGGTGGCGGCGGTGGGGACGCCGCGGGCGGGGCAGGAGTACCTGCAGAGCCTGCTGCGGCAGTGGCGGTTCAATGTCGACAAGCTGCTGGAGCTGCCGGAGGGCATGGAGCGCACGGCGTGGGTGGGGGAGCATCTTCGGCAGGTGTGCATCGAGCTGGGGTTCTATGTGTCGCAGCTGCATTTGGAATGCACGGAGAAGGAGTGTCCGGAAATGTGTGCGGTGGCGACGTCGTACTACTGTGCGGCGCATGGGCAGCCGCAGCTTTGCCCGGCCATCCAGTACGCGGTGCACACGCTGGACCAAGCCGGGCGGCTGGTTAGTACATCGGCGTATGCAAAGGCGGCGGACGCGAGCCGGCCGCTGTCGTCTTCATCGTCGTCGTCGCATGTGGCAGAGACCAAGCAGTACCAGTCGATGGTGCGGCGGCTGTACCGGATCTTTGCGCATTCATACTTTCACCACCGCGAGTTTTTCGAGCGGCAGGAGAGCGCCACATACTTGTATGCGCGGTTTGTGCGGCTGGCCCGCAAGTACGAGCTGGCGCCAGAAGCCCAGATCATCATCCCTGATCTGCCGACGACAATTGAGCCGTCGTCGGTGCCGGACTCGGCGCCCAGCTCGCAGAAACAGCGGTAGGGGGTCACATGGGGCTTTAGAGGCGGGGTGGGGTGACCCTGAAAGATGGCATGACTGTTTTGTCGGGAGTGGCACGGGCCAGCCCCCCCCGTGAAAGTGGAGGCAGAGTGGACCACTTCCACTGGGAGAGAGCAAAGTGGGGGCACGTGTCAAGCGGTGCGGGCTGGCGGCCGGAGGGCGGCGGTTCCCGAGGCTCCGGAGACACGCTCGGCTATAAAGAGTGGGGCGTGGGCCCTCAGGGCGCCCTTTCCTGTTCCCACTGGACCTTCCTTTTTTCTTCCTTTCTTCCTGGTGACCGCCTATTGTCTTATCTACTACAGCGATGCAGATTCCCAAGGGACTGGAGCCCATGAAGGTATCGACGGCCGACGCCCTCCAGGCCGAGCGCAGCAAGGCCAGGTTCAGCGTGCAAGCGATGCATGAGTTTATTGTGGACAAGGACATGCGCGACAAGCTGGTCAAGGTGGAGAAGCTGATGTCTGCCGAGCCAGAGACGTTTTCCCTGCGCAACGAGTACTTTATGTCGCGCGAGGAGAAGATGGACCACGCGCTGGAGATCGGGCGCCGGCTGATTGAGATGATGAAGGCGGGCAAGATCACTGACGACGAGATCACAGTGGCCGACATGGCCCTGGATATCAACGGGCCGTTTGGGCTGCACCGGGCCATGTTTATCCCGACGCTGCAGAACCAAGCGACGGCGGAGCAGCAGGAGCTGTTCCTGAAGCCGGCCCAGAACTACGAGATCCTGGGGTGCTATGCCCAGACCGAGATTGGCCACGGCTCCAACGTGCAGGCCCTGGAGACCACCTGTACCTATGTGCCGGAGACGGACGAGTTTGACGTGCATATGCCGAGCGTGAGCGCCTGCAAGTGGTGGATTGGGTCCCTGGGCGTGACGGCCACCCATGCCATGGTCATGGCCCAGCTGGTGGTCAACGGTAAGAACTACGGCCCCAACCCGGTGGTGGTTCCCATCCGCTCCACTGCGGACCACAAGCCGCTGCCGGGTGTGACGGTGGGCGATCTAGGGCCCAAGTTTGGCTTCAACACGATGGACAACGGCTTCCTTTTGCTGGACCATGTGCGGGTGCCGCGGATCAACCTGATGCAGCGCTACATTACCGTGTCGCCCCAGGGCAAGGTGAGCCGCCCGGCCAACGTTGATCCCAAGGTGGCCTACGGCACGATGGTGTTCGTCCGCACCCAGATCGTCCGCAACATGTCGCAGGTTCTGGCCAAGGCCACGACGGTTGCTCTCCGCTACACGTCGATGCGGCGCCAGTTTGCCGGCAAGTCGGACAAGCCCACTGCGCCTGGCGTCGAGTCGCCAGTGCTGGACTACGGCATGGTGCAGTACAGGCTGGTTCCCTTGCTGGCGCAGAACTATGCGATGTTTGCCACTTCGCAGGCGTTTGCCGCGCACTATGCCGAGTGCATGGAGGAGCTGAACAGCGGCAACTTTGCGCCCTTGAA